AAAGAAAGAAAGAAAGAAAGAAAGAAAGAAGTCTTTTAAAAATCCCAATCACACAGAAGCAGTAGCAGGAGATGGAGGAATCTCCCCTCACCACCACCGCTCCTCCACTGGCCGGAGTGACTTGCCAGCGCTCGCTCTCTGGCGTGGATTTCTGTTTTATTTTCCTATTCTCAGTGCTGGAGATCAACCCAAAACCTCAACTCACTAGGCAAGTGCATTGCCCTTTTTATCTTTTATTTTGGGACAGGGTCTTGCTAAAGTGCCAGGCTGGGCATGACCTTGCCATCCTCCTGCGTAGCTGGGATTACAAGCACGCACCGCCCCATCCCTGTCTTTACCCGTCCTTTGTGGTCACCACACATGTGCAACCCTGCCCAGGTCAGAGAGAAGAACATGTACAGGGCGGTGGACAAGACCATCTACAAGCAGGCATTCAGCCCCGAGCCCCTGCGCCAGTGCTGGGCCAAGTGCCTGCAGCAGGCTGACCTGCCAGGCCGGCGGGCGCAGGCGGATGCTTTCAACCAGCAGAGCCACTGGCGGAAGCGGGGTGTCGCTGCGGTCCCCATGAAGTTCTCCGTTGGTTTTGGGGCCTCCAGCTTCCACCAGGTATGTCTCTGCGGCCACAACTGCCAGCCAGTCTGGCAGCTGCACCTCGCCAAGTGCAGCCAGTACCGAGGCGAGGGTAGCCCCTGCTGTAGCTGTAGGGCCAGCTAGCGGGATGGCAGGGAAGGGGACCCCCAGGTGATGCCAGGGCTGGAGGTTGTGCTCAGGAGCTGGGCAGATGGCCGGACACCTGGTTGGAGTAGAGGGGCCCCAGCCCCAGGGAGCTTGGTATGCTGAGAGCTGCTACCATCCGCAGCCTCCCAGACAGGGCAAACACACTGCACCCACCTCATGTACAAGGGAAGCAGACAGACAGACACATGCATGCACGCACACATGCACACACATGGGAAGCAGACACACACACAGAGAAGCAACAGACATACACACACAGAGGCACAAGACACACAGGAAACAGACACATGCACACACACATGTGGCATGAGCACAGCCCGAGCGTGGCTCTCCATGCAAAGGACAGAAAATGTGGTCCACACTGTCCTTGCCAATCCTCTGTCCCTGGGCTCCCTGACCCAGCCCCTGTGCCCTCTACCCCCAAACACCCTCAAGCCAGCTGGGCTCCACCTGGGCTCTTGGCGAGGAGTCCAGGACATAGGCCAGGCATGGGTCCCCACAGCCCAACCCCGACTTCCCTGGAGGGAGGACCCTGCCCTGGAGAATCCAGGCCTAGAACCACCACTCACCTCACCGTCCCGTTGGGAGGTGACCTAGGGCCCTAAAGCCGGCTGGGTCCCTCCTTCCTCTCCATGTCTTCTGTACAAAGCAGGTGCAGTCAGAACCATAGCAGAAAGCCTTGCCCTGCCACCCCCACCCAGCTCCGCAAGACCACTGTCTCGTCTCGGGATGGGTCCAGGGCCCTGGTGCTGAGCTGAAGCCCGAGTCTGTCAGTCTGTCTTTTGTCCATCCGTTTTAGAGATAAGGGCTCACTAAATTGCTGAATTGCCCAAACTGGGCTTGAGCTTGCGATGCTCCTGCCTCAGCCTCACAGAGAGTGAGGAAGGCGGCACCCACCTCCCGGGTCTCGGCCTCCTCAGAGCCTCCGCAGTGCACTTGCCCTGAGTGCCCTGGGTGTCTTGCAGGCAGCGGCGCTGGTGCACATCTACATGGACGGGTCTGTGCTGGTCGCCCACGGTGGCAACGAGCTGGGCCAGGGCATCCACACCAAGATGCTGCAGGTACGAGGCCACCCGGGGTCCCCCTGCCCCAGCCTCCCAGACTGCTGAGCCTCATCTTTCCATAAATGTTGACTGTCCAGACTCTAAGGCCTTCCCTGTAGGGCGCAGCAGCTGGGCTGGGGTAGTTCAGCTGCCTCTGGCAGGCATGAGGTCCTGAGTGTGATTCCCACTACAAAAACAAAAACAAAAACAAAAAAAAAAACTAAAACACAGCCATTCAGCCATTGACCAGGCCGGGCTCAGGGACCAAGGGACACTGGCGCTGACTGGCCAGCTCAGGGACCTGGGGGCTCTGGCACTGACTGGCCAGCTCAGGGACCTGGGGGCTCTGCACTGACCTGCTCTGTGACCAGGAGGTATGAGGCACCTGCTGCTCCAAGATCATATCAGACCGCAGAGCGGAGTGACGCAGCACCCCGCAGGTAGTCCTTCACCCCACAAAGAGGCCTCGGCTGCAACCCACCAGCCCAGCCCTCCAAATCCTGGGCTCCTCCCCGCTCAGCCCCATCCACACACCTGGCCAGGCCCAGCCCCAACATCAGGGCCCCTCCCAAGCACTGGGCACAGGCGGGGAGAAGAGCCAGCGGTCTGCAGCTGACGTTGGCCGGGGTTGAGGCAAGTCTGTGCCATGCACTGAGCCCGCCACCCCGTCAGAACGTGGCCATGCTGAGTGAAGACCCTGCGGAGACTGCACTGCACCTGGACACAGCTGTGCCTGGCCCAGGCCCTCGCCCCCTTCACTGTGGGAGCCAACCTGCCGCCTCTGGGCTCCCATCTCTAGGAAACAAGGACATCGTCCCCTTTGATAAAATTCTGCATCTGCCTGGCAAAATTAATGTTTAGTGGTATTAGAAGGTCAGCATTGGAGAATAGGAACTAGAATATATGTCCCCACATCTCAGGAAGGGTTTTTTACAAAAACTAAAGGAGCAAGACAGCCAGATTGACACTTTTTCTTCCCTGCTTTCTTTATTTTTCATTTATTTCCTTTTCATTTCTTTTTGAGTAAATATCTTAATTTCCATGTGTTTCCTAGAAAAAGAACAGCTTTGTGCTGGTGTGGGCCTGTGGTCCCAGCCACTAGGAGGGCTGAGGCAGCGGGTGGAAAGCCCAAGGCAGCTCCAGAGGCCTCCCAGGACCAAGGCCCAAAATTTAGAAACAAGAAAGGAAAGACCAGCTGGGAGCAGGAGAGAGGGAGAAAAAGGGGAGGGAGGGAGGGAGGGAGGGAGGGACGGACAGAGGGAGGGAGACAGCAAGGCCAAGAAAGAACAAAAGCCTAAAAGGAACAGCAAACACTAGAGCAGCAGAAAAGAGATGAGGCCAAGAAGAACAGCAAGGTCGTTCCAAGTTCTTCTGAGACCGAGAACAGCAGGCTGCACACTGCAAGTCAGTCCGTCCAACCACTGAGTCTCTTTCGCTCTGTGTCTGTCTGCCTCTCTGCCCACCTGTAAGCCCTGAAACCTCACCAGGCCCACCCCTATTATCTGTAACCCTGAGGCCCTAACACCCTGACCATGCCACTTGGGCCACTTGGGCCACTTGGGCCAGGAGGAAACCCCTTAAGACCCACTGAAGACCAGCGTGGCTGTGTGTGAAGCATGGAGTCTCAGCTTCGAAGGCTGTGGCAGATGCAGTGCGTGCGCAACCCAGCCCCCAAGCCCACAGCGGCTGACTCAGCCCTCCCCGCAGGTGGCCAGCAGGGAGCTGCGGGTGCCCATGAGCCGCCTGCACATCCAGGAGACCAGCACGGCGACTGTGCCAAACACAGTGGCCACTGCGGCATCCATCGGCGCCGATGTCAACGGCAGGGCTGTGCAGGTGACTGTCCCATGCCTCCTGGTTTCCAGCTGGACATGCAAAGGGGGCTGAGAGCCCAGAACCCTGTAGGGAGGGGCCCTTGCCCGGCCCAGCTGAGAGCAGATAGAGCCTGGGGCACAGCTCCAACTGACAAGCCACAGCCACTTCGAGCCAGACGGTGGTGTCTCCTGGCCCCAGGATCACCCTGGGGCCCTCACTGCAGGAGCCAGATGGGCTGCGAGGGGTACCGGTCACCGGTACTGCAGACGTCAGCAGACCCTGTCCCTGCACGGCAGCCTGCGCCTGGCCCTGGGCCTGGGCCTGATGACAAGGAGAGACAAGGACCAACCCAACCTGCCCAACACTTACCCCCCACCCTCCC